CACTTCAGGATTTCGTTGGCCTGAAAGTGATCCGATCTCTGCGGCTCATGAAGCTCATGCGGATCATGAAATCGTCCAAGGTGTTCCAGGATTTTGAGGCGCCCCTTGCAATTCCGTACCAGAAGATAGCACTGCTGAAGTTCATGGTGGTTCTGCTCTTCATCTGCCATTGGTTTGCCTGTGGCTGGGCGGTGACTTTGTCGACGGTGGACGCGTTCTACCCTCGTTGGATTGATGGCATCCAGGAGGCTGACAGCGCCTACGGCATCGTGACCACGGACTCTCCATTTCGGATCTATGTAGCTGCTTTCTACTTTTGCAGCTATACCATCACATCAGTTGGCTACGGGGATATCGTCCCGCAGAACGTCCTCGAACGTGGTGTGTGCCGGCTTAAGAGAGAACCGAGAGCAGGTGAAGGGTGCTCGAAAATTCTTCGGCATATGATTCTTGTGTATGTGCGTGTGACAGCTGAGTGAAAACAAAAGCAAGGTCTGTTGTGGCATACTCTTGACAGCCGGTCTGTCTTGGACCTACATCATTGGAGAGGTGTGCACTATAGTCGCGGACATGACTTTGGAGAGCCAGGAGTTTCGAAAGACGATGCACCACCTCAACAAGGCAAGGCGGAGATGTGAAATGCATTGCATCATGATGACACCTTCATCCTGATCCACTCTTTCGCCGCTTCTTTAATCTAGGCACGTAGCTGCAGTAGGATCGCAGGCAAAGGCCCTAAGGCAGGCATCTTCCGCTGCGCCATTGCTTCAACATGTCAAAATGATAAAATGGGTCTCCACGGCCACGGCCGGCAGGTAGTCTGGTAGTCTTTTCTAAGTCTTCCTGTGCGTATCGTACCTCAAGCCTTCTCGCCTCTGCCAGATGATGCGGGACCAGCGCTTGCCCCATGATCTCCAACAACGGGTGCGACGCTACTTCTTGCAGAACCGTGGCCAGTCTCTCTTTGTGGCGAGGCAGTCGTTGATGCGACGGATGAGCCCACAGCTACAGGCCGAGGTCTCTGCCATGACGAACATGTTGTGGCTGGAGAAAGTGAGTTTCTTCAAGTCCTTCATGAGCTTCATCGAGCAGCAACGGAGTCTCGGGGAGTACACCGCTCCCAACGAAGCTTGCGTGGCAGACATTGCAAAGTCGCTCCGTTTGGTTGCATTTGCCCAACAGGAGACATTCCACAACGTGCAAGTCTTGTACATCCTTTCGAAGGGTCTGGTCGCCCTGAACAGCCGTGTTGGAGCGCTCGGTGAGGTTTGGGGTGAGGATTTCGTGTTGTCGGACACCTCCCTGATCCGGCCGGTGGCTGGTTATGCGCTCACGTACCTGGAGCTGCTGAGCCTCACGCGCGAGGACTTCATGCAAGTCATCCAGACAAGGCGCATTACTTGCCCAGAGCTCTTCCGACTTGTGCGGCGCTATTGTGTACGGATCGCCGTGTACCGTGGCATTTTGGCGGAAGCGAGGCGTCGGCAGCTGTACAGAAACCAAGCAAACGCCGGGACCAAGGGTTCGTCCGCCTCTCCAGCGCCCGGAGCTGAAGCACCGCAGGGCGGCCAGGCGGGCCAGGCGGGCCAGGCGCAGCAGGCGCAGCCTGTGCCCCCTAAAGCAGAGATGCCTGTGCTCTGCAGCTCGCTGAGCCTTCCAGGCACGGTCGAGATTTGGGACTCCGCATTTTAACATCTCCTCCAGTTCACTCTTGAGGTGCAACTTCCAGGAGTTGGAGCAATCTCTCATGCTTCTGACCTCCAAACGTCTCCAAATCCTGGAAGTATCCGAGGCCATGCCCATGGAAACCCGGGGCCTGGAAAACCGTTGCCCCGGTTGTCAGTAATGATCAGTATGTCAGTAAAGAACAGCAGCTTCCCACCGCTTCCATAGGCATGGCCCGTGGTGTAGTTCGACTGGATCCTCTGGAGTGCTGCGGTGTCCTTTGTGACTTTTATTAGGTGAGCAGCCAGGTCCGGCCCTGCATCTGATCTCGCAGTTGTTGGATGCTTGATGCTGTACCGGGTTTTCTTCCGCACATTTTGTGCGGAGTTTACGTGAATTGCCTCTCCCCCAATCAGCGTTTCTGGG